CCTGGAGCGAGACTGGTAGGTCCTGGGTTCGAATCCCGCTCACGAGTGCGGGATCGTGGATGCGCACTGCCACTGAGGAGTCCCATAATGGAACGAAAAGGCTTTCCAGTGCTTCCAGGTTTTCTATGGTGGTCTAGTTTTAATTGACTAATGATTTCAACTACGAAAATACTGAAATCTCCACAAAACCCACTGTGAAATTGATTAGTCTTGGTTAGGATATGAGTGTCATGTGTAAATTACCTTGATATAAAGATTACAACACAAGCCAATATAGAATAGATGACGAGTGGCTAGGAGTGGAATCCATAAGGCGCATTCGCTAACGACTCCCAAAAAGGAAAAACATGCATCCTGGTTTACACTACTAGCCACATTCCGTCCATTATATAACAATGAAAACTGTTTCAATAACATGGTATATTCTTCCTATCACATAATAAGATTTATAATTAATAATTAACTTATCCACCAGGTACTTCGATGTGAGGCTTAATAATACTAACCGGTTACGTAAACTAAAGTGGAGCAGCAGGTTCTAACCGGAGATTTAGTAACTGAAAGTTGGATCCCTTAACCAATACTAAGTCATTGATTAAGAACAATCTCATATCACATTATTTTAATCTATAATTTTCAAATTTTCATAGTTAAAAGCGTGATTCAATTGAAGCTAGACCACCATGGAAAACGTAGAAGCACCGGACGGCCGTTTCGTCCTATTATGGGACTCCTCAGCAGTGCGCATCCACGATCCCGCCTCGCGAGCGAGATTCGAACCCAGATCCTACCAGTTTCGCGCCAGAGCACTTCATTTCAAATTGTTTTTAGAAATCTAACTGAATAACCCTAAAAATTACTATTGAAGTTCGCACAAATGGTAAGTATTGAACATTAAAAAAATTGAAGGAAATTTACTAGAAAAAGGAACAATCGCATAGACATTTGCTTAATTAGGATAGTGTGAATTTTTCTCATATGAAGAGTGAGTTTCATGTTTAAATAAATATCACTTCGTACTGGTTCGCACTCGTCAGTCAGGCACACCTAGAATCTTGAAAGAATTGATGCGCCTGTATCAACCATTATTCCAATCTTAGATGTGGTCACTGAGATTGTACCCTGCATATCTCAAAGATTGTGAATCTGAGTGAAGTTTATGGGAAAAGTGATTTTTGTTTTCTTCACCTACATGTTTATTTAAGTAATACGGACAAACTAAGTAGAATAGGTCAATGGCTAAAAATTGGTTCCATTCTTCACTTAGAAAGAGGTCAGAATAAGAAAAAGCATAGGATGGTCAAGGCTATGTGTTTTAAAAAAAACCCCACGAATCATAGTGGTATGAAAATGGATGTATAAAAAATATGAGATTCATTAAATCGATTACTTTATTTTATTATTTGAACACATAAACACTGGTAAAAGGGGGCATCAGATATATATGTACCACACTGGGTTACACAAGTAGATAAGCATGTACAAAAGGAGACAATCGGTTTTGTAAGGTGACACGTATCTACCACATCTAAAAACTCGGCCAATCAGATTAGATCAGCGCTGAGAACTGTTAAACTACAAGTGACATTGGTTACTGAGAACAGTAAAGTCATACAAATCTGTGACACTGGCTTTTGATAGCTAACGTAATCAACTTTCAATGCTGCTAATTAGGTTGCATATTCGAAACCCTCCTCATCTACTCTGATATTTGTAGTAGGATGGAAGAATATGTATACAGTTACTGATATATGTTTGTAGTTTAGACAGTTGTCAATTTTCTCAAATCACGTAACCTAATTTAATACACATAAGTAGCTGGATACTTATTTAGGTCTCATTACAAAACAAATAGTTTGAAGCATATTAGATGAAAATGTATGCTAGAGTGAAGCCTGTTCGCTCAGTGGTTAAGGCATTCAGCTTTTGTCTATCGGGTCTTAGCTGTTCCAACGCTGACCCTACCCTACCGGTTTTCATTTGACTAAATGTGTGTATCCCAGACAAGTAAATAAGCCCGGTAGAATGTCGTAATCTAATATTGGTTAATTACTGAATTACCAGGAGCTACAAATATGATGAAATTATCTTCAACAGTTAGTATTTTCGTATACACAAATAAGTTGAATATCTAAATCTGATCACAATGAATTTGTATCATTTAGCTTAATGACCTCGCACAATTGATAGATTTCGATCGATATTGGAAGAACGAGATGCGAATAATACAATAGATTTACAATCATGTGATTGATCTGTTGGGTATGTATGTGTGTGTGGGAGGGGGGTTATGTACACAATTAGCAAAATTATAGCTCTGCACACATGGTGTTATAAATTGTCTGTCAGAAATTATATCATATGCAGTGTTTAAATTAGAAACAAATGTAAAGATACACTTGTCATTAGTTTGTTTTGTATCTTATTGATAGAATGAATAAAATAGAAATTTCATATTTTAACTAAGATTGACAAGAGAAAGAAGGAAATAATAATGAGTAATTCTCTTTACAAATGTCATCTTAGCGAATGCTACATCTTGGATTGATTATTGATCTTGGGACGGGGATGAGAAAAACGGAAAGGTGGTCAGTTTATGACATGGTATCATGGTGTTAAAGAAAGCCGTATAGGACTGACAATTGTCATTTCTAATAGTTGAAATCATGAGTCAATTGAAGCTAGACCACCATGGAAAACTTGGAAGCACTGGACGGCCGTTTCGTCCTATTATGGGACTCTTCACCAGTGCGCATTCACGATCCCGCACTCGTGAGCGGGATTCGAACCCAGGACCTACCAGTCTCGCTCCAGGGCAATTGACCTCTAGACCACTGAGCCGGCCGGCATCCAACGGTGTTAATGTCTAACTTCAACCAATCCACGATTTTGAGCGACCGTTCCCCAATTGTCTTCAGTGAGTTGATATCTCACAACAGACGTGAGGTCCTGGGTTCGAATCTCGCTCGCGGGGCGGGGTCGTAGATGCGCATTGCTGAGGAGTCCCATAGTAGGACGAAACGGCTTCCAGGTTTTTCATGGTAGTCTAGTTTCAATTGACTCATGATTTCAAGTATTAAAAATACTGAAATCTCCACAAAACGCCTTCTGATAATTGTCATTTCATCATGATTCCTTGGCTGAGATCCTAGAAACAATGGAACATGACGGTTTAAGCTATTATTAGACAACTGACAGAACAAAAGCCAAAGACGATCGTGTTGTAGCTTTCTTTTACATCCTACATAAACATGAAAAGGAACTCACTCTACTGAACTTTTTTAATTGCATATTAATCTTGTTTACTTAACTTTATTCATCGATCTGTTTTTTTCTTTATTATACTTCTATCTATATTTATTCAAAAATCATAATTCCTTATTTATGTGGTGAGCATTTATTTTGGTGCCCAGGTGTAATTGAGTATCTATGTATATTAAATAAATAAATGAATAGAAGTACAAAGACCGTTGTATATCGTATGATCTAGTTCGTTTTAGACTACAGTAATTGCTAATAACGAACAATCATTTTTATTTTATTAGCAACAGTATTCTTTAATAATAATCCCCAAACGATGAATCTTCAAAGAAAGGAAGTCAGACAAATTTAGTCATAAATGCCAAGAAGCGGGAACTACTTTGACTTCGAGAAACTAATAAATAACGTGCTGGTGATGTTTGAAGTACTATATGTATTGTATTTCTAGTCTGAGTGGGTAATATGAACACTTTGAAACAGGTGATAGGACATCTCATTATTTAACAAGTTTTAAATAGAACCAGGTGAATACCCTGAATACCTCTACTGCTTACTATCCACTGTATAATGCATTATGTAAGATAAGATGAACTTCATTAACAGAAAGAAATTTATCTTCGTTGTATTACTAAGTGACCTATGATTTTGTTGGGATTATAAACCGACTTAAGCAAGACAATCATTAAAAACTTGGAAGCACTGGACCATCGTTTTGTCCTAATATAAGATTCTTCAGTGCTGCACACACGTGACCCCTCAACCAGAAATCGGACACAAGACATTTGGTCTCGTATGAGAACGCTGAACCTCTAGACCACTGGGCCGGTGTACAAGTCTAACTTGGATCAATCCATGATATTGTACAACCATCTTTCATTATATTCGATGGGAATTTTGACCATACCTAACACTATTGAACTCCACTGGTCACGACTTTTTTCCACTAGGACTTCGGAAAATTTCGAAGCTAGACACTAGTAAATACATGATAATTATTAGTACAAGACTGTGCAAATCGTTGAGTTTTGTTGGATGTCGGCTCAGTGATCTAATGGTTAAGCGTTCGCGCACGAAATTGCACATCTTTGGTTCGATTGCCAGTTTTTGGACCGTGGATGATCAAGTATCTCCAGGTCCACAATGTTTGTGACCTCAATAAACCTCAACAATTCCAACAAATGAAGACTATCATTGCCTGTAACGAGTAATATTTCCGCTCAGTGAAGCAAATATTCCATTTTAAATTTCTTTTAACTATTTATTATGACTCCATTTTCTGTGGGGCATTTTTTATTATGGTCTGTGTCAGGATTTTTAATACAGTATAACTATATAATGTGGGTTAAAAACCGGTTCGATGGCGAGACTATAATTTTTGGACAAACCAATCAGATTTAAGATAGCAGGTCTTGGATTTTGGAGCGTTGTTCATTCATCTGTATGGCTAAATAGCACTTTGGCATTATAGCTGATGTCAATTCGTGATGAAAATCCTAACTCTGATGTCCAAATGTAAATCCTAATCCTAATTTCTTACACTGATTTATAACCCCCTTTTAACCCTAGTAAGTAGATAGGCATCTTCAAGGTCACTTAAGCATCGATCAAAGGTAATCCATAAATTATAGTCTCACTAAAAGTGTCTCAAGAACGAACCCCAAAAACTTGCATTTGATAAAACAAGTTACATCTTTAAGAAAACTCCATAAACGTTTTTGTCATAATTATAAATGACTTACGGTATCCAAATTGACTGGAAGATGAGATAAAGTATCTTCAAAGCTAACTTGCCTACGTCGTAAATACATTGTTTGAGCAGCACGTACATCATCGATACCATTTTGACCATTATTGTTTGAACGAGTTTCCACCCCCGCCAACGCTGACGTAATACCACTACTACCTTTTGCACGTAATCTCTCTGATATCGTTAGGCTACGTCGTGTATGACGAGGATTAGAACGTATGGGTCTACCATCACTACCGCCGCTAACGGCAACGCCATTAGATAATTGAGATCCAGAATTATTTATTCTTTCATTTAATAAAGATTGTTCATCAGGTGACTGATTTTCTTGATTTTCATCAGTTGGACAAATCGGTGGATCAAATTCAACGTGAAAGTTACTTTCTGTTTCATCACCATCATTAACCATCCCCAATTCTCCTTCTACGGAATTATTGCCAAATATGAGAGAAAAATGATAAACGCGATGATCAATTTGCGAAAGAAAAAAGACAATACCACGCTATATACGATGATAATCATTTTGATCTGTTTAATAAAAGGTATTTGATTATACCCATTGGATTCATATGAAACATACCCTTTCATGGCGTCAGTCAGTCAGATGCAACGTAGAAATTGGTAAGCATGTACATCGGTTCGAATTACCATACACCCTTAGTACAGAGAGATGAAATCGTTAAGTCAAATCACAGCGTAGTAGAGATACATTGAAGATACAATTCGAGAAAATATAAGTTATTGAAATAATAAAAAAAGGTTTATAAGGAATTTAGAAACTTACGATTTAAAGAAAAACAAAAAGGGAATAAACCTGTACCATTGCGAACAATTCTGAGCAATCTCGACCAAAGTCTCTAACCGCTGGTTACTATAGCTAAACGGACTCCAAACAGGTAGCCTGCACCTACTCATATAACTCAGTCTGATGGTCAACTTTTTCATAGACTGACAGTATGTCTTGGTTTAGCCGCTCTTAGCTTTTTTTCAGTCTAGTTTTACACCAACCTTCATCGCTCGTCAAGGTAGTCAGTTCATGGGCATATGTAATCCGTGTATTAACAATCTCAGTTGGAGATTCTATACTTGATTGCTTGTTTGGTACTTGACAGAGTAGTGTACATCGCTCACTTCATTCTCTTGTTCAAAACTGATTAAATGATACACTTTGTCAACGAGTGTTAAACTGTATGTAGAAAGTAAGTTAAATCTAAGATCGTCTGTCAGTCATCTATTCAGTCTGGGAATATAAATTAACTATATACATGAGAATTTGTTCGTCATTTCTACATCAAACACGAAAATCCACTTTGCAAAACAATACCGAGTAGAAGAATGTTGTGCCTGACGATATGAACACATCCGTACACAAGTAGGCAGAAGCAAATTTTATACGTTTTTTAGACAGAGTTAGATAGTGGCTGCTGGTAAAATCCAGGACACGCACTTCGTCCTATTTCGGAACCGTCGACTTCATGTACCTGCAACTGAGTGCTAATGTTTGGTCCAAGACTCGGTCCCTGTGCCTTTCGCTTTAAATGCTTAACACATTAATTGGACTTAGTAGCTGAGTGAATAAAGCGTTGGTGTTTAAAGCAGAAGGTACTGGGATCTAGTCTCAGGTTGAAAATCAACACTCTGGAATTTGTCTTGAAATAATTTTACCTTGTTGTGCTAATTTGGTTTGGTAACTTGAACCGATGAGCATATGTCAGCTGGCACGTTGCACATGACTGACTAACTGATTTTAAACATAAATTTATACGTGATCGCTTCAAAATTCATGCATCCTTTCTTCTCCTCAACACATTTATTGATTTAAAAAAGGTCAGAATAATAGCGATAATAATGATCAATATTATTATTATTGTTATTACTATACCTACCCTCACTTGATGGTTCGATAGCATCGTTGAATGTAACTGGACTAGCAACAGTAGAGTGTTGAGGTGATGTCTGCGATCGAGATCCCTTTTATACATAGTAAGTAAAAAAAAATTCAAAGAGGGTAAAAAACAGAATAAAATCAGATGTGTACGCATGCTTATGAATGTTTGATAAATACAAATCAGTCTCACAAATAGCTATCATCTAAAGCTGATAACATATTCTCGAAAACGGATAACTAGTTGTTAGTACGGCCGAGAGTGGGGAGAGTCCACTCTCCCTCTCCAAATGCTCTCACATGGCCACGCGCATACAGTTTCTACCAGGGAAGTCCTACTCACTGCCTTCTCGTGCCATTACTGTTGTTTACGGAATTGAGAGGACGAAAAGCGAATATCAAGCGCTATAACCGGGTTGGTGGACATGGTGAGTCCACCTAGGGGACTTGGAAAACCCTCATTCCAAACCAATGGTACACATGGGCTGGCTCCAGTATCCTGATGGAACAAATGGCGTATGCATCAATTGTTGGTCACCGGCTATCATGGGACTGCATCTCCTTACGATGCTCCACTACCTTGTGGGTCAGACCTTTAGATCAAAGGCTCCGGGTGTAGCCCCTTAAGAAAACCACCTGCTTCGATTTGGGCATCCGAGCAGTATCACAGCCCACACACAAATAAATGAAATGACGCATTCTACTGACAATACTACTCTCGCTCATACTAGAAATATATAAATACAAACAAACTCTGATGTGAATATAACCACCAGACATCAATAAATTATTCATTAGTTTCTGAGTAGAAAAACATGATATCTGTAAAACACTCTCAAAGACTTAGTACGTTCAACAAATCATAGGTGTCAAATAAGAAACATCGAATTTCTATCTTTAAAAAAGAGGGCACTAAAATGCTTTTAGTAAAGCTGAGAATGCAGTCTGACATACACACATTATGGTCAATCATGTTTGATATTTTACTCAGCTAGAAGTATTTAATCAGATAAGATGAATTTAAACTATGAGTCAACAAACAACCGTCTTTGTTGGTATTGGTTGCGATAACCAAACGGACTCCAAACAGGTGGTCTGCATCTACTCATATAACTCAGTCTAATGGTTATTGTTTTCATAGACTGATACCATGTTTTGGTTTAGCTGCTCCTAGCTTTCTTCTAATTTAGTCCTACTTCAGCCATCGTCACTACCTCGTCAAACGATTCGCCATGTCTAACTAGTAATCTGAGTCTAACCTATGAATCTCTTACTCGACTGTTCCAAAATACACAAGAAACGGTCCAAAGATATGTATGACTGAGTACTAGTAACCTAAAAATATCCTCTTACAAAGGTCACGTTTTACAGACACAAAGTAAGACAAAGAGATCTGTTGCACAGTGAACTCGTCTTCTAATTGACAGATGGATGTCCTACCGTTAAGCAAATTAGAAAATACCGACAGGACCTACTGAATTTGTGCCACGATTTCGTCAGAAACCCACCCACCAAGGCTTATGAAACTTCTTAGATGAGTGAAGTGTTATACATGCATAACTACTTCACTTCTTATCGTTGAGGGAGACCAATTCTAAAGAGACATTTTGCATTTAAGTGAAGAAAAACGAGTCATCTGCGTAATCTAAGTCAAAAGAAGAACAAGATTAATTTCCGACAATTCAGATTATAGTAACTAGCTACGATTTTTTGAACTGCGACAAAAGAAAATCAGTAAAGTATTAAATACTTAAATCATGATAATGAACAATTTTAATTGTACTGTTATATCCCGATAACAATAGTGAATGGTAACTTTGGGATCCGTTTATGGATCAATATTATGCATATAATTTTTAACGTATATTTTCTAAATAATTAAACTACTCATATTCATGTTCCTTTCAATGTGAGCTTTATTTTGACCCTTAGACTATCATTGTACGATTTACCATTCCTGAGTTATACCCAGTCTATTAGTTACTGCTACCCCTATTCGCAGCCACATTTGGCTAACTCTTGTATAAATGTTATTTTCTATTTTATTGGTACGATGTGGTCTGTTTGTTTGGTATATAAGCTCAGTATGTTTGAAGAACAAGGATTTATACCACAGAGGCTGTTATTGGTGTTTTGGACTTAACTGGCTGGGCTAGTCAGATCGCAGGACCGCTTAGCACTCTGGACTGCTCGAACGGTTTTCGCGTGTCACTGTTCCAATCGATAATTCGCTGCTCCCTGATTGACGGTCTTATCACTTCATACATCAACAAGGCATACACTCGGCCACAAGATATAACATGTACACAAACACAAATATATAACATGAAAATTATTACCTCAGATAAAGGATGATACCAAGTAGTTCTATGATTTTGATGATCAACATAATAAACACGACCATTTGCATCAGTTCGTTGCTCCCATCCATGTGGTAATTGACTAGATATTACATAATAAATATATAACCAATGGTGAAAACAATGAAATTGTTTAGAAAAGGAAATTAATGAAACTTTAAATAAATATCAATTAATCAGTCAGTCATTTCGACTATATTATTCATAGTTTATACAACACTCGACTAATGAGGTATAGCAACTTGAACCGATGCATATGTGTGCCTAGTCCTACGTTGTAGCTGACTGACTGACTGGCTAACACTCGACTCCCAGTGTTACATTATTTGTTTGCATTAAAACAAGTGGTGATGTTCAATCTCAATCTAGATATTAATATACATCAAATTTATGTATTACGCTTTTCGTCCTCTCAATGAGCTCATTACACGAAAGCTTTTCATTTCTCAATGTTTAATATCCTTATAAATTAAAATTAAATCAACTTTGCAAAAATAACTACTAATTAGTTAGATGGAAATAGTAAACAAAAGTAGATTACTTACAAAGAAGGTCTGTCCCATTGTGTACGCTTGTTAACATGATCCATATAATATGTCCGTCCATTTTGATCAACTCGTTCATCCCAACCTGGTGGAAGTGAATTTTCATCAAGTGACGTAGAAAGCATTGGCCCAACAACAGTTTCAGTAACACTGACAGTATCTGATTCTATTGAAGTATTTCTACTTAAGTGTACACGGTTATCAGTACCATCGTCTATAGTGTTAGATACTTCAGCAATACCAGGACTAGATGATTGTGTTGGTAGACTAGGACGATGCGAAGAAGATACAGGTGTTGATGATAACTGACCTTCACTATTACGTTGTTGTTCAGATGACTATAAACAAAGATAAAAGTTGAGTAAACATTTAATTATGGGTTGTAAGTAAAAATGAGTTAATTTATAAACAGTTGAAAAGAGAAGTAGGATGTAAAAACTTCATTTTAAAGAGGATGTTTTTGTCTTCAAAATAACAAGTTATTATGAAAGAGGGTTAGGGTTTTCACTTGGTGCAATAACTCCTAACTATTATCACCTTACGTATGTTAGGATGCATTATTTTAGCACACGATAAATCAGTGACTATTTGAGTAATACTCTGATATTCGTTCAGTAGTGAGCGATTATCTATAGGCCATCTACATTATTGATGAGGTGGCTTAGTGGTTAATGTTGACTTTCCAATCAGTAAATCTCAAGTTCCAACTTTGCTTCACTTCGGTTTCGGCAACCGAATAGTATCATTAGCACTTTGAATGTGTTTCGTACCTAAGTACCTGCTGAATGAGTTAATTATTTTTTAGCAGCACACAGCTAAACATATGGGGACAAATTGAAAATACTTTAGGTTGAATAATCACATAAAAAATATGATTAAATAGAAAGTACAACAAATCTACTGGTAAACGATACGACATGGAGCTACATAAACAACTGTATAGAGAAACATATTAGTACTATCACATTTTTCATAGACCAAGGTTTATTTCCGTCTTATTGTAGATCAATATATGACCACTTAAATTGCATGAAATAGAAATTTTCACAACTGCATTTCATTGGACTACTTAATGTCAATCGTAAGACCACCAGACAAAAGAAATTCTCTCGATAGTTAGTTGAGTCAAATATTCAAGAGTCAGTAAGACACAACAAACGTACGACCTAGTAAAGACGCAAGTCAGCTCAAAATCTCACACTATATCGCTACACAGAGGTGGAATTAATAAGATGAATAGTGAGGGATTTTTGATAATAGAAGTACAAAAGATAATATAAAAAAGTACTAAAAATGGAATATCAGTAGCCTAACTAACCTTTAAATAAATGTTAATCAAAATTACTTGAAAAGACTAGTGACTAAGACTTAATAAATGCATAAAGATCTATACTAATTTCATGAACTACATTATCAATATGAGATAAACTCAAATGTTTGGTATAAAGTAGATGGAATGTGAACTAAATTAAATACTTTATGCCTGAAAGCAACTAACTCTTATTAATATAAATTCTGTACTTAGTAACAGTCAGTCATCTGAAACGCAAAACTTGACACGTACATCCATTCAAGTCTATGCAATATGTCAACACAGGGAAATAACATTATCAAGACAAAGGATAGAGCAGTAGAAGTAGTAACAATATCACTAGGCACATACAAATTTGATAAAATACATTACCAATCAAACGAAAATATCATAATAAAAAACCGATTCAAGTCAACACAAAGTGCTATAAGTGATGAGAGACGATATCGCTGAACTCATGAAAAGCTAACATTACAGTATACCCATAAGTTTGTTAAAATCTATAAACGACTTACCAATTCAACAAGGGGAGGAAGCTGACGAAGACTTGTAATTTGGGGATTTAAATGACTTGGCAAGTAAGCCAAATACAAGTGGAGGTTACCACGAACACGGGAGCGAGAACTAAGAATCATTAGAAGAGAACGCAAGATATATTTTAAGCGAGAGAAAGATAAATAATGGTCTTAAAAAGATAAGTCTCTGAAAAAAGTTGCAGGAAGCTAATGTTTACTAGGCTATCTCTTAAAACAACAACTGGACAACTGAATTTTTGATGTTAACAATTCCCACTTCAACGATTAAAATTAGTACTCTAGAAAACAAGAACTGATCGTCTTTAAAGTTTTTAATGTAACCTGGTACATTTCACGGCAGGAGTAAATGTGAACGATGACCAATAGAATCACAATTACCAAAGGGAAACAGTAACTAGATTTAAAAAACAATGAATCAATGATAATTAGTCTGATCCCAACGTTATTTCCAATATCGTACATGACAAGAATGAAAATCTGTACAAATACATCGAATATGGTTATACATAGGAAAGATATCCATGACAATGTAAAATCAGAACTTTCTGCATGTCCGCATCCACAATAATAACAAGTGATTCCTCAGAACAGCCTAAAATCAGCCAAATAATGAATTGGTCCAAAACAATTCCCTACGAGAAGTAAAGTATGGTTTTTCTAAGTAACAACTTGACACTGATGCACTTTGTAGCCTTTGTAAACGTCTCTGATTGATTTTACAGCATAGTGATTGCTAGAATATATGATGAACTTAAAACGAGTCATACTTTCGAGCTACTGCTAAGTAGTGAACAACCTAATGAGCAGTGATTAAACTGACTGGTACTCTTTTCTATGTGGCTTACAATTCAGCTCAGGAACATGGGATAGTACAATGCAGATGAAAGCAATATATGTCAACAAATTATTAAAAACCCTATTGTTTAAAACTTGCTACAGTGATCAGTTCCCTAAAACTCTACATATCACACATCCACTCCTAGGAATCTTGAAGTACGAAAGCAGTATAACCAAACATAAATGGCTGTAGACCAATTAGAGGTACGAGTGAACTTGCTTCCCTTTAAATCTTAGATTTGACTGTGAATTATATCTTATGATGACCGAAAAGATTATTTGTGGAGAGAGAGCACCATCTACAATATGTTACATGTATCTAGTGAAAAATTACTCTTTGAACGAGATGAAATATGTACCGATTAAATGTTGAAAGATATATCGACATCAGAATAACAAAGATACGTTTTGTAGAATTCTCACTTCAAAACCGGGACGAAATTTTCCCAGATGATTGCTATGAAGAAACACTGAATTACCGACATTTCATATTTTTAACCTCCAAACACGGAAACTACATTTTTAAAACATTTGTGTCATGATTAGATGCTAAACGTACCCTAAAACGTTTAGGGATCAAAATCTACGCCAATATCATACATGCGTCACAATAAATAAACTAAAAATGGCAATACCTTCTGGGGCGCAGTAAAAAGCTTTTCGCCATCAACCGACAATCAGAGCCCTCCGTGCCAATCTCCAGATATGGTAGAAATACAGTGACGACACCCAAAAAATCATCCCTCGTCTGTGGACGTAGCTAAGTAAATGTACTAACTTACTATTCTATTTTCGTCGTAAAGCTCAAAAACTAAACGATTTTCTGACGGATTAACCTGAAATTTACAAATTTGAATCGGCTTAATTTACCCTGAAAATAAATTCCTCGTTCCAAATCGGGTTGAGAGATCTCTTAACAGTTTTCGTTGGTACTGGTGAACACAAGGGAAGAGTCGCACGCTGAGTTTTATATATACATAGTTTGCAATATGGATCGCTAAAAATCAAAATAGGTGAAGAAAATACAGCATACCTTGCTCCGAATATATCCTTTTTCATAAGATCCAAGGCCCGAATTACACGAACCCTTAGTAAACGCGTTTCCGTATTACACTGAAAAATTCAGTTGCGTCATGAAAACCTACTAATGACAGTGGCAAACCGTAGACTTCTAAATGCTTTCTCACACCAACTGATTTCGAAGGAATGTTTAGAACCATGAAACATTTAGGAAAATATAATCAAGTGACCACTAGAACCAAAACAGGAGCTCATAGCTTTCAATAGTTCAATATTACAATTTTGAGATCTGGTACAAATAATGATTCGCTTTCGCAAATATGCACATAAATCACTACATTCTCATCATTCAATTGCTTAGTTTTGTATATAGTGTGTGTATATTCAGTAGCATTTTCACCAGATCAAGTTTTACTTGGTATATATACATATCTATAATTTGACTGACTTTTAACAAAATTTACCTACAAGAAGAATCACAAAATTGTACTTCACAAGTCGATTGCTTCCAAATATTTCAGTTGCTTTAGGTAACGTCATTTATCGCTAAGGCGTCTACAATATAAAATACAATACGGTTGAAAATCCCCTTATTTTGAACGATCTCGAAATATGCATAATTATCATTCCATTTGTATTTCAGTTGCACATTACTATGTACAGCATTATCTCCAGTCAAGTCTGACAAAATGAATGCACTCAAACAGTTAAGATGCATTTTTGTGGAGATAGAACCTTTAAACCTATTTTGTAAATAATTTTTCATAGTTTTCGCATGTATTTTCATATTCTGTACATTAAGCATCAAACAATTGTACTTGTTGTTTTACTGTATTACTTTGAACGCTTGTAACTCGACTTCCTTCCGTTTTGAGTACAACATATCGTGACACTGTTACTGCTTCTCAATAAATACACTCTAATTCACATCTGCATCGTTCTGCCATGTCTGCTAATATGTTGAATGAAATATTAATTGCATACCATCTACGTTATAGACAACTGCGACATTCTTATTGAATTCTACGCTTGGTAAACCTACTGGATCTATATCGTCCATATTGGGATTACTAATTTTTTATAATTGTGGATTATTTGGACCAAACCCAGCCGAACACGCAATAGCCTGAAGACTTAAGTAACGTCCCTTATTTTGTCATTTGTGTGTGTAATTAACTTATTAACTGTTAATTGTTACATAAACTATAGACATAATATTTTTGTTGCTAATTTTTGGTTATCATACATTTTGGTCCACCACAATTATTTGGTGAGCCCTAGTACTTTATTATCTCGCATTTATCCCATTGTTATATTGTTTATTCGCTCATTGTACGACACTTTTGCTCATCTTCAACCTAATGTACTCTCCACTTAAGCTTAGTGATTTGGATCCTGTTCCAATAACCACTCGTAGTTCATCACCTAACTTTACTGACAGTATTTTTAGTCCAGACTATATAAATACGATGCAGCCGTATGGAGCAGCTGGTGTCAGTTACTTAAACTCTATTCAAAGACAATTATCTCAATTGACGAATCAACTTGAGTCCCTTCAAACCACTGTAGCAACGGTTCAGGCCAGACAAATAAGACCCCTTTTTAGACAGAGATCACGTTCTAGACCACGATCTCGTTCACCTAAACGACCATCCGAAATTTGTTGGTATCATACTAAATTCGGCACAAAAGCACGGCGTTGTACACGCCCGTGTGCATTCCCCTTACCCAGCACTGATAACCAGGGAAACGGTCCGGCCAGGCAGTAATGGCGGCGCCTGACTCTGGCCACAACTCAAGCCGTCTATTTCATGTCAGGGATCGTATTTCGGGCTCGGATTTTCTAATCGATACTGGAGCCGAAATAAGCATACTCCCACTTCATCTATCCCGACGACGGCACTCCCAACACGCTAAATTATCATTAGTGGCAGCAAACAATTCTATTATTAAAACGTATGGCGAGCAATCACTCATCTTAGACATCGGTCTCCGTAGACGTTTTGCATGGGTTTTCATCGCCGCTGAAGTTAAACAACCCATCCTTGGAGCCGATTTTCTTAGTAACTACAATCTCCTTGTCGACATGAGAAAAAAGAAACTTATCGACGTGAATACAAGTCTACAGGTCAACGGAATAATCACCTGCAATTATGAAACTTATGGTGTCCGATTGCTTAGACCTGATAGTCAAACTTTTGCCGATCTTCTATCGAAGTATGAATGTATAACAAAAGCCGATTATCAAACTGAAAACTCCACACACCATGTTCAACATACTATCACTACAACTGGTCCACCTATCTGCGCCAAGGCGAGGAGACTACCACCCAATAAGTTGCAGTCCGCTAAAAGAGAATTTGAACATATGATGCAACTAGGGATAATCCGACAGTCTAATGGCCCTTGGGCCTCGCCACTGCACATGGTTCCCAAAAAAGATCAAGATTGGCGCCCTTGTGGAGATTATAGGCGTCTGAATAATCAGAGAGTTCCAGACAGATACCCTATTCCTCATCTACATGATTTTTCACTAAACCTGCACGGTAAACTGATCTTTTCAAAACTAGACTTAGTTAGAGCTTATCATCAGATCCCAGTGGCACCTTAGGATATTGAAAAAACAGCTGTAATCACACCTTTTGGGTTGTTTGAATTCTTGAGGATGTATGATAATTAGAAGTATTTGAATTGTAGTATGAACTAGTAATCCCAGGAATAACGCAATTTAATCAAGAAGTATCAGATGAACTCGAACGAATGTATTGTATTTGGAATTCAAAATTACAACAGTCATCAATACTAAGAAGTCATTGATTTATTTAAATATCACGTCCGCCACAGCTCGAATTGAAGTGTAAGTGTCTGTAATCGATTGTTTGTCTTCTTCTTAAGTTCATCCTACATCTGTCCGATGTTGTATTGAATGTACACTCTGTATTATCTAGAATGCACTCATTAGTATTAGAATTAACAACCAAAATTGGAACAGACTCACCTGGGTTCTGGAATTGTATACAATTGGCATGTCGGTTGTGTAGTGAAACCATTGATATTTAGAATTTGCATCATATACTTTCCAACAATATCCTCCCCCACGAAATAATGTTGGGTCCTTACGTCGCAATGTTTTAGCCAATATGACATTTCTAATTTGCAGTATCTTCTCAAATCTCACGCATCGACTACTGTATGTGAGTATTTGGGAATAAACACTGATATATAATTTGAGGTATTCCATCATGTGACTTTGACTTGAATAAAAATCATGATACATATTCTTTTTGTTATTCATATTAGAATACACAGATGGATATACATTGATATATGTAATTAACACACGTGATTCAATTAGGCTTGATTTACCTGCGAAACAATCGGATAGAAAACATTCATCTGCCTCATATTTATTAGGATAATCTTGGACGTGATTCGGATTCTCTGTCTGTGCAAACTTCACTTCTGGGCAAACTGGTTCTCTGGTTGCTTCGGAAAATTTTGCTATCCCCTCTGTATCATTATACCCCTGACTAGGGATTCTATTCAACATGCATTGTTCGTGAGAGTATCCAACATCTGACACAATAACATCAGAAATATGACTAGAATTCAACTCATAAGAAACATATTTTTCACATTCATGAGGAATATCATTAGAGATAAATTCATTATGAGGACCACTGACACTTAATATGATATCAGAATTCGATTCTTCTGAAATATTTTCCTCAAATTGATTAAGAGTTTCATTAGGTAATGGATCATCAGGGAATTTAACATCTACCATGACTGAATTTGGTTTTTGATCATGATTTGACTCATTTAACATTCTATTCTCAGAGTTGTAAGAAATTACATCAGAAGTATGTGAATTATTACGACAAACCATATCTGGCACAATAACATGAGAAATCTGATAAGTTGATTGGTTGAGAATTTTCGCCTCCCAATGACTCTGGGTTTCATTCAACTCTGGACTGTTATATAACGTTATACCTCTTCTAGATAAAGATAACTGATCATTAGAAGCATCCATCTTAGCGTTACTTTCAGCGAAATGAACCATGGTATTACAAACTGACTGAATATGTCCAGTTATACCACATTTAAAGCATTTAGAATTACGAAATATACATGAATTACATGGGTGAAACTTGCCGCAGAACATGCATTTACTAAACTTGTGCTCATCATCATGGACTGCTTCACAACTCAATGAAGTATTATCTGAATAAATTTGATTACTCATCGAACTACGACGACTGTTTGAATAAGTGGAATTCCTGATGTTCTGACGAGTCATTTTATCGGATTTTCCTTTCTTATCGCATTCGGAATTTGTATATTTTACATGATCCAACAGAAGTTGCTTGAGAGTTGCATAGGGGAGTGAAATCGGTTTGTCTGGAAGTGCCAAAATCTTTATAAGGCTGTATGCTTCTTTCCCGATGAATGTAAGGAAATGGGCCACAATATTAAAATCCTCATCATCTTCCTTGGTCATAGCCCAGATTTCGAACCTTTCCATGTACTCCTCAAAAGCATTAAAATCTGAATTTATATTTAACCGTTCCATCACAGGCTCAGTCGCGACGCCAATATGATAATTAGAAGTATTTGAATTGTAGTATGAACTAGTAATCCCAGGAATAACGCAATTTAATCAAGAAGTATCAGATGAACTCGAACGAATGTATTGTATTTGGAATTCAAAATTACAACAGTCATCAATACTAAGAAGTCATTGATTTATTTAAACATCACAGGATGCCATTTGGGCTTAAGAATGCTGCGCAAACATTCCAACGATTTATGGACGAAGTCACGCGAGGTTTAGATTTCCTATTTGTTTACATCGATGACGTCCTAATTGCCAGCTCCTCACTTGAAGAGCATGTCCATCATCTGCAGATTCTCTTTGAACGATTCAAGAAATATGGCGTAGTTATCAACCCTACTAAATGCATATTCGGTACGTCTGCCTTAGAATTCTTAGGACACTATATTGATGCACAAGGTATTAAACCTCTACCAAAGAGAGTTGAAGCCGTCATCAACTATCCTGAACCCACTTCGATTAAGTCATTACGTCGCTTCCTGGGTGCATTCAATTTTTACCGTCGATTTTTACCTAACTGTGCCGACGTTCTACAACCGTTAACTGACTTACTAAAAAACGATAAATCAGGTAGCAAAATGGAAAAGAACCAACTATTCAAGTTACCTTCCGATGCCAAAACGGCATTTGAAAAAGCCAAATCTTTGATTGCTGACGCCACCATGCTACAGCATCTAAATACTGACCCCAAAACTCATCTGATCCTCTGTACGGACGCATCACAAAAAGCCGTAGAGGCAGTATTACAACAACGAGTAAACAATACGATTACACCCATTGCTTTCTCCTCTAAAAGGTTATCACCTGTACAAGAGCGTTATAGCACATTCGGTCGTGAACTCTTAGCCATGTATTTAGCCGTTAAACACTTCAACTTTTTGCTACAGGGCCGGGATTTTACCATCATTACGGATCACAAACCCCTGTGCTACTCCTTTAGTATGTGGTATGACAGACATTCACCACGCGAAGCAAGACAGCTTGATTACATCTCACAATTCACCACAGACATTCAGTTTATCAAAGGTCACTCCAACATTGTAGCAGATGCGTTGTCGAGAAAAGACATCAATGTAGTTGCATCCAACCATGACGTCAACCTAGAAATAATCGCAAAACTTCAAGCAGACGATGAAGAGTTAA